TGGCAGCATGAACTATGACAGAAACTGGAGCGACCATAAATAAGTATAAAGTGCAGCAGAGGCTTTCACACTTTCAAACAAGGGAACATAAAATTAGACTCAATAACTGTTTATTTGTTTGTTTGTTTGTTCCCCTTAGGCTTGCAATGGTGAGAGAGCGGGGTGTTGATTGGAGCCTGCCCCAAGGCAGTGACAGAGGAAGCACTGATTTTGGTATATGCATTTTAGCTCTGTGCCTTTCAGAGCATGCTGAAGCGAGGAAGCTACATGCTATTGCTGAATGAAAAAGAAAAAAAGATGATGGGGGAGTTTTGAGGTAAAAACGACGCTCTCTGCAGCAGACTGACGAGAGATGAAAAAGGAAAACTGACAAAAGCAAAAGATTCTCTTATTTTTTCATTCAGTGGCTCTTTAAAACGCTCAAGAGGGTAGCATGACAGAGGAGCTTATTGGATTTATTTCACCCTATCTCCTTTCTTGCCCTCTCTTCTACCACCTCTCACTCTCTCTCTCTCATACAGCCGCACAGACGTTTTCATTAGGCAACCATATTAGGCACACCTTCACACCATCAGACATGTTTCTTCCCAGCTAAAGTGTCCCTCTGTTTCTCTGTTTCTCTATTTCATTCACACCACACCTCATTCTTAATCAATCAATGTCAAAGTCTGTTATGTTTTTACCTAATCTGACACACACACACACACGCACAGTCATGTTCCCATATCTTTATGAGACATTCACTGACCTGTTTTCCTGTTTGCTCATAACTTTAAACCAAGTCTTTAAAGCCTCAGTCACACTTATAGGAAAAATAAGACAGCTAGGAAAAACCAGTGGTTGCTTTTAAGTATTTTGGTGTTGGGAGACTGACATTAAGTAGTTCCTGGTTGCCTAGATGTTCATCATGAAAGACCATCAACCTCTGGGCAACTACTTTCAATTACAAGACAATTACACAGGCAATTGAGAAGCAACACGTCTAGGAAAAATTTGCCATCCGACTTGGACTGATTTCATTCAGACAGAAGAATTTAAAATAATTGCAAATACTTTACAAATGCAGACAGACCAACTCATTGCAATCAACTGGAGTCAGCCTGCGAGCGGTCCCAAATTAATGGATAACACCTCTGCTTAATTATTTATATCACTTCCACTGATTTTTTTTTTAAGTAATTTGCACCCTGCATGGGGTAATGTAGAGACGAACGACGTGATGGGGACCGCGCCAGAGCTCCAAGGCAACTAGCATCAAGATCCTGACTCCACTGCAATAAATATTTAAACAAGTAGACGGCAACAGGTTTGCAAATTTCGCTCGTCTATCACAGTTACAATTATTAGCATGAACAGATTGCATGTAATTGCCAGCTTGACCCAAATTGGTAGCAGACTGTTTTCATCTTATTGCTGTATCACCATCTCGACACATCTTGAAGACACCAGGTGACAGCGAGTGGAGACTGCAAACGATTGCCGTAATTTTGGTGATGCCATGGTCTCTAGCCACTGTTTTCGCCAGTGTGACTGTAGCATAAACTAAACTCTTCAAGCTACATCCATGTCCCTGCACCATGAATTACACAAAGGAAACATTAGAACTCATTAGAAACACTTTTCATGTGACAATGAAAAAAAGTGTTTGTCATGCACATTACAATCACCCAGAAATGAATGATTACTTCACATTTGAAGACCTACCACGTACAGAAGACTGAACTCTGGCCGTGCCAGAGGCAACACACACATCTGAAAAACTCTGATTTCTCTCCAACGCACTCACTTTTATACATCATTAAATATACGAGCACAGTCACACAAAAATGCAACATCACCACTAGCTGCCCCACACTCCCCATCTGTAAATCTATCCAGCTCACCCTCCTTACGGCACGTTTCTCTTCCTCCAAACAGCTTATCTTTTGCTCTCTAATTTCTCTGTGGTTTTCAGTTTCCTCTAACTTCTTCCTCCTCCTCCTAATCTCTGAACACTGGCCAGAGGTGTGAGAAGGTTCCAGCTCACCAAGCAGAAGCCCTGCAGTCTTCCTCCTCCTCCCCGCTTCAAGAACCTCCCCATCTCTCTATCCTCATCCTTCTGTTGCACTGCCAATAACTGAGGAGAGGAGAGAAAAAGAGAGCAGAAACAGCTCTCCCAATGACAGAGAAAGGGCAAACATAGGACATTTTGGTGATTGCTAACGTCATGTCCCAAATGCCTTTCTCCACAAGGGCCTCCTCGAGTCCTGTCTCTCTCTGCTGCCTACCAACACCATCACTGTAATCACACTTTGGTTAGAAGTTAATAGTTTGTCGTTATAAAAAGTTCCTGTCAGTAGTCTGCACTTTATGCCATATCTAAGAGAGCAAAAGGGTTTTAAGAGAGGAAATTAAGCCACAAAGTGATGCTGATCTTACAACAATCTGCATTACTCATGGTAAAAAATCTGACTGCAGTTTTTTAGTGTTTCTGCTGACATCCTGAAAGAAACCTACGATTTACTGTTGTCGATATTTATAAAACACGTGCCTGCTGTGATAAATATATCACAACTGCAGTGTTTAATTCTTAGTAGTAGTACCTCTCTATATAAAATATACTTACCTTACCTATACCTCATGACCACAGAGTAGGAAACCTGAAAGTATATTTTCAATTCAATTCAATTCAATTTTATTTATATAGCGCCAAATCACAACATAAGTCGCCTCAAGGCGCTTCATAGATACAGAGAAAAACCCAACAATCATATGAGCCCCTATGAGCAAGCACTTTGGCGACAGTGGGAAGGAAAAACTCCCTTTTAACAGGAAGAAACCTCCGGCAGAACCAGGCTCAGGGAGGGGCGGCCATCTGCTGCGACCGGTTGGGGTGAGAGAAGGAAGACAGGATAAAAGACATGCTGTGGAAGAGAGCCAGAGGTTAATAACAGATATGATCATTTTATATACATGTTGCCAATGCTGCATTCTGTCAGTAACCTTTTTAAATAAAATATATACCCAAGAGAGTGGCTCATGGGTGCAGTGGTTAACCTTGTCACAAGAAGGTCCTGGGCATGTTCGTGATTGTCTGTCTCTGTGTGGAGCTAGTAGATCCACAGGCGACCTCTCCTGGGTGTACCCTGCCCCTCGCCCTATGACAGCTAACCCTTGTTGAACTCCATAAGCAGAAGAAAATGAACGAATGGGTATCTAAAAGTCAACTCTCTGCAATGGAGGGGGGGGGGTCTCAAAGTTTGGGCTCATGTGAACAGGAAAAATGCAAACATCCAAAAAATTGTAGGTAGCGTTCGTAACCTGCCCAGAGAATCTTGTGCTGCCTTGAGTTTACCGTTTTTAACCATCAGTGAGGCAGTGTTTGTTGACACCAGCTCCATGTGTTAATGTTAGGAAGGGTTAGCCATGTATGATGGATAGAAAGAAGATCTGAAACTGAAGAGAAATGCTCCCTCAGTCTTTCTCTGTGCTGCTTTATAGAATGACACAAACTGTTGGTGTTTCATCTTGACACGCTTGCAGGCTGCACAAAATGTTCCCTCGCTGTGCCACTGGTCAGACTTTGGCTCTATAACTTTTATGCTCTACTCAAAAAACAAGAACATTTCATCTACTGAAAAATGCTGCTTGTATTCTGTAAACTGATTGCATCAACATGTCACCATTCAACCATTTCTTTTTCTATATCCTTTCTTCATCTTCTTCCACCTGTCCTTCCTCACTTGTTGCCTCCTCCGTTGCCTTTTGCCCACCCTTCATTCTTTTTCTTCCTTATCTCTCCACTTCTCTTCTCAGCCACCATCCAAACTCACTTCGACATCTCCTTTCCCGCCCTCCTTCCTCTCTTCGGCTTCCCTGCTTTCCGTCTCTCACCAGAGGTGAAACGCTGTACTTCTCTTCCTAAAGTCATTTCTATGTTAATGAGTCTTCTTGTGAGATAACGCAGCCGAGCAAGGGCCTCGGACACACACACACACACACACACACACACACACACACACACACACACACGCAGATACACAGAGGAAGAGCAAGTGAGAAGAATGATAGGACCTGTCACTGCACTCTCTGGTGATCAGTTCATGGATTTATTTATCTGTAATCCTTCTCCCCCCCGCTCTCTGTGCTCACTTTTCTGTCTCTCTGTTTTTGATTGTTTTAATTCCTCAGCCTTTAATAGAGTCAGAGAATCAGTCAGTGAGCTGTGGCACCTAAACACTTAAGTGGATGGATGGGCTCCAGAAAAGAAGCCACGTTTCCATTCCTTGGGTTTAGGCAGGCTTCAGCAAGCTTTAAACCCCCCTCTGATTTCCATATGTACACATGTTACTCAGGTATACACCTATGATACTTGCACCCACGGTCACGCGCACTCCGGTGTGTTAAGTGAAGTATGAAGAGCAGACCGCCTCGTGTGGAATCCTCGCTGAAGTGGAGTCATTAAAAACGGTCCGTGGCTCTTTAAGTGGCGTCTGTGCTTCTCTCCCGAGCGCGATTCTCCATGCATCGCTTGCCAATCTCTCTCCCTCTCTCTCTTTTCTAACTAATCAGTGCGGCGCAGGAGCTGCTGGCGCCGCGGCTAGCGGAGGAGAGAGGAGAAAACAGAAAAACAGAGAGGGGAGGAGGAGGAGGGGGATGACGCTGCGTTTCAAATGAGCACCAAGGACAGCGCCGCACTCAGCACCAGGGACAGCAAGCCACAAAACTACACGCAACCCTGCCTTTGAACACATGCAGTTCGTTTTATTGTGCTATCACAACTTATTCCCTTTTATTCTTCGTGTGTGTGTGTGTGTGTGTGTGTGTGTGTGTGTGTGTGTGTGTGTGTGTGTGTGTGTGTGTGTACAGCTCAATATCTACTCACAGTGAAACGTGGTCAAATCAAAGCCCAGCGTGCTTTGATCTGTCCTGATCACCGCTGTATGTGTGGCACTAATGACCTGCCATACATACCCTCTGTTAACTCTCTACTGCGGGGTCTATTCTGCTACCCAGCCGGGTCGCGCAGACGTGGGAATACTTTTCAACCAGTGTGTGTTTGCGTTTCAAGTGAAACTGGCTTGGCTTTATAGAGGTGGTGGTGGGCGGGACTTGCAGCAGTGAAGGCACACTATTAGCTCCCGAAGGGCTCTTTCACCGGGGAACCCAATCCCAGCCGACTGCCTCTGCCTCGGGCGGAGTTTGAGGAGACCCGCGGTTAATTTTAGTTTGTGTTGGTTGGACGGAGAGGAGGAGGAGGAGGAAGAAGAAGAGGACGACGAAGTGGAGGAGGCGACGGCTGTCTTCTTCTTGTTGTTGTTTTTATTTTTTATTTTTTATTATTTGTCGCCTACCAGCAGGCACGTTTCTTGGGAGCAAACGCAAGCGGGTGTAACTGTCGTCGGCCGGTGTGTCCCGGTTGCGGTTCTACACTGACTTCTATGGAGGATAAATCTGAGTAATCCTTTATTGTTGTGCTTTTTGGACCAATTTAACTTGTATAGAGCATTTCACCGGATACGGTTTGGACTAGTGTCTAAAGCCCGGACATTGGTCATCCAGGGAGATAAAACATGTCACTGTGTCAACAGCTGGAGCGGAAAACACGCGATGGATGTCGGTCAGTCTCCGCTTTGTAGATAACACATGGTCTTTATTCACCGTTCTTGTATTCATTCCTTCATTCACTGGACGGGGAGGTGAACAGACGCTGGCCTGCTGTCAGAGACACTGTGGGAAGAGGAGAACCGGTCACAGCGGTGAGTGATGCTTTAGTACAGATTCACGCTGCGGGGGTGACATCGCTACAGACAAAATGATCCCCTGTTTTGCTGTTTTAAAGATGGAGTCCCCCTACACAGACCCTGGCTGTTAATGCTTCACAGATTAATAAGTTAAGAAGGAAAGCAGGAGAGGCGAAGACAAGAAGCTCTCCCCTAACCCCGGGACGAATAACACGGCAGGATGCGTTACCGCCGTTAACTTCCACTCTGAGTGAGTGTGGGCAGTGCCAGCAGTTGGGGACGACCGTTGGCCGTTAATCCTACGCTGTGTGGGTGCGTGCACGCGCCTCTGTATGTGGATGGTGATGGTGAGAACCGGTTTTTGATGCGCGAGAAAGTGACGTGCCGCTCTCCTACCTTCCCGCCCTTTGCCACGAGCCTCAAGTCAACTCAGCGAACCAGGCAGCCGGGTCCAGCTTCATTTCTCTCTCCATAGCCTCCTCACAAACTCGCCACCTTTACCTACCTTCCCCGTGTTGTTGTTATTGCTCTTATTATTTATTTGAGCGCGTGTCCCTCACTCTGACTCTCCAAGTCTCGCGGGATATAAAGGAAATAAAAGGGGTGAATCTAAAAGAGCGGAGGGGAAAAGGAAAGGAAACACACACACACACACGAAAACAGATTAAGACGAACAGGAGCCGCATATATGAAGATGCTGATGTGTGACCGCGGCGTCCAGATGCTCGTGACGACGGTGGGCGCGTTCGCCGCCTTCAGCCTCATGACCATCGCCGTCGGTACCGACTACTGGCTGTACTCGCGCGGGGTGTGCCGCGTGAAGAGCAGCGGCGACAACGACACGAGCCGCAAGAACGAGGAGGTGATGACGCACTCCGGCCTCTGGCGAACCTGCTGTCTGGAAGGTACGTGATCAGTCTGACTGGCTGCCTGTCTGTCTCTCCTCTCTCTGCTTCTGGCCGGCGCGTGTGTGTGTTTGTGTGTGTGAGTGCTCGTGCGTGTAGCTGTTTCCACACGCACACGCCCTGTCTCCCCTACTGTCTGCCTTTTAATACCAGAGGAGGTTTGTGTGTTTGCCTATGAGAGTGTGACAGCAGCCTATAATCCCTGTAACTCACTTCTTAAGCTGCTCTTCTCGACTTCACCCTCCACCGCAGAATAGATCGCAACTGAGTAGATGTGGCTGTCATCACGCTGCATAGCTCTGGGTAGAAATAAAGCACTAACAGGGCAAACAGAGCGTTATTAGCCAGGCATCTGCACCACTACCATGAACCAGGCATGTGCACCCTGGCACCACCACAGTAATGATGGGAAAGGTTTTTCCTTTGAAGGTGGATTGCACTGTTGTTCCAGGTTGGAGGAAAAAAAGGAGAAGCTTGTTTTGGCCTGAATGGCGTTGGAACTGGGTGTGAATTTCGCAAGCACCTGTTGATTATGGAACCAAAGGCAATGGTGGTTCACTGAATTCTTGCCAGAGAGTTTAGGCATAGGCTCTCAGTCATCCAGGTCATTCGGGAGTATTGAAAGAAAGTGATTGGATTTCTAAATTTCATGAAAATGTTTCACCTTTCAGTTCTGGTTCAGCCCAGAGCCCTTGAGTAAGTCAGAGTCCTATCAGCCGGGTGTTGTAGCATTGAAATAGTTTCTGCAAGTGCTTAGCTGGCAGTTGGACTGCGTGCTAATAACATACAGCATTGTTTTTAACTCCTCAAACTGTGCTTCTGTAACTCTGTGACGAAGCTAGCGTGGAGATGACGCCACTCTTCCATTCAATGGCTCTGGATCATTCCAAGTACAAGTTAAGTAACATGAAATATGCTGTGCAGTGCAGTGGGGAGTGCTCAGATCTCTACACTGGAGAAACCAAAGAGCCACTCCATAAACTCACCACAAAACATAGAAGAGCCACCCTGACAGGACAAGACTCAGCTGTACATCTGCATCTAAAGGACAAAGGTCACTCTTTTGAGGATGCCAATATTCACATTATGGAGAGAGAAGACAGATTGTTTAAAAGAGGAGTGAGACAGGCCATCTATGTCCACTGTGAACAACCATCCTTGAACAGAGGGGCACACCAAGCATTGAAGAGAAGTTGGTCTTTCCACTGAATCCAGACTTCTTGACTCTTATATGTAGAGCAGGGTGGTCCAACTCCAGTCCTCGAGAGCTACCGTCCTGCAGCTTTTAGACACATCCTTGTTCCGACACACCTGAATCAAATGAATGGCTTGTTATCAGGCCTTTGCCAAATTTGATGGCATGCTGAAGAGGTAATCCAACCATTTGATTCAGCTGTGTTGGAGTAGGGATGCATCAAAACTTCATGGCGGTGCAGTGAACTTTACAATTCACAAGCAATCTACATTTAGATAATGGGGAACTCCCAACACTCCAAAAGCCAGATAAACATATTTCCCATTCGACAAAACACAGGAGGAGTAATGTCAGTGACGATCAGCTACTACATCACTGAAACAGAAGTCAGATGACTCTTCTTTGTGTGACACTGACCAACATTTGACTGATGTAACAGTATCACACAAATTCATATTGAACATTTAGATATCAGCGGTTTAAATAGGCTGTTTTTTTTTCCTTGTGCGAGTAAAGTGCTGTTTTTTCTCACTGAAAAAAACATAATAAATTGTACAATACGTTTAAGGAAATTAATTGCCCAAAAAAATGTAAAAAGCCAGATGTAGTAAATATGATTCAAATTAAAATTCATATACATCACCCCCGCTGCTTCTTACTTTTTCAAGTCCTTATTTGCAGCATTTCTCCCTTTAAAAACTCTGAGTGATTTTCTTGTTAATTTGGACTTTTTCTAGAAACTCTCAAGGCATTTGGCTGCACATCCATCGTATTTAGCACCACACAGAAGAGTGTGCCTTGATCACAGGGTTTGATTGGCTCTCTAAAGCCTTTTGGCTGTATGGATTGGCTCTTACATAGTTATTTTCTACTGAATTTGAGCACTCAAAGCTTTTTTTAATAAAGCCTCATTCACCCATTCATGCAAGTGCTTTTTCTATGCCTAAGCAGTTTTAACCTAACGTTCACATAGGCCAACAGTCTGATGGATGCATCAGAGGCAACTCGGGGTTCAGCATCTTGCCCAACGATACTTCTGACATGCAGGTTGGAGCAGCCTGGGATTGACCCACCAGTGTTCCAATTAATAGACAACTGAAGTGAACGTAAAAAGGAAAAATCTAAAACTTGAACAAGATAGAGGACTTTGACACTGTCAACACGTCAAAGTGTGTGTGTGGGCGGGGGGGTGTTACAGCGCCAGATGGTGCAGGTATGCTGCTGTACGTTTATGCACACAGCAACACGCACATGTTATTGAATGAATAAACAGACAAATTCCAGGATATTCCCAATCCTCCACATAGGCACAGCTGTGGGAGCAGGATGCCAAGTTAACACAATGTCAGTGCCTTCACACACACACACACACACAGGCTCAGACAACGAAACATCATTTGCACATATACTCCTTCATGCACGCCTTTAACAACTGCTTTACTTAAGTGAAGAAGCTCTCTTATCTCTTTTGTCATTCTGTCCATCTTATATCCACTTAGCACAGTGGTAACACACTGGTAGCCATGCTTTTATAATTCATAGCTGCCCCATAAGCTGACAGGAAGCGGATGTGTGTACTAGCAACTTGTACTGTGTCCGACAACAGGGAGGGTGTGAGTGACTTAGACAGTAACTACAGACAAGTAGTGAAGCCTCATATATGCAGTGTTCTTACAGTGGAGGTGAACACACAGAGCAGTTACACATGCATGATGTGCAGCATTTACAGTTTTATTTAGCAGTGAAAATGGGCACCAAGGCAAAAAGAGACCTTAATTGAAAGAAATATTTACTTTAAGGCAATAATTAGCATATAAGTAGTAGCGAGCAGGTGGTCTTATTCTAAAGTTTTCACTGATTTTTAAATACAACTAACTAGGCGTAAAAGCGCCTGCACATGCACGTATTCTCCGCTTCTAAATGGAACCTGTTTTGCTTTTATTTTGTGTCACATACATTATTACAGTGATGGATGCTCATTTTAAACCTGTCCAGTGGTTCAAATAATGAGGTCAGCATGTGTATAATTAATCCCCATCTTAAGCTGCCTGAAAAAAAGTTAAAAGACTAGGCCTTTTTCTGCATATAGCAAGAATTCTTGAATGGTATAGTTTTGTTTGCCTTGATTTCAGATGCACTGTATTTGTTAAAAAATAATATCCCAGCTCTTCATTGCTAAATTATAAATTAAGATTCAGGACAGTGCTTCGGTAATGCGGCCTCAATGCAAGGCATCAGCAAACTGCAATTTTAGATAAGCAAACAACTAAAAGGAAAGCCCAAAAGAAAAGAGCAGGGAAATAGCATAATAAGCATTAACATTTAACAACAACAGAGTTCATAAAGTGAGTTCTAGAGGAATTTTTAATGGGCTGCTTGTAATTTAGCACACAGGAATGTAGAGTTCTTATAGAATTTAAATAACAGGGATGTTTTCCAGATTCTGGCATAAATACTAAGGCCTGTAATAGGATGAATATTTACGTGCACTTGCTAATACCAGATGTTAACAGGGACCAGCAGTGTGTGGTGACGTTGGGATTTCTCTAAAGAGGTGCTGCGATAGAATAAATGAGCACAAGAAAAACTCCTTTAGAGAACAGACAAAACATGAATGAAGAGAAACCACAGTGCACATGAATGAAGCGGGGGAGAGGGGTGGAGAAGAGCAGCAAGTGAAAAGTGATGGATGAGCTGCGCGTGCCCTCAGTTTCAGGTGAATCTCTCGGGAGTTTGTGGGACCACAACGTGGATTTAGAAGATCACTCGGTTACAGAATGAAGGAATAGGGTTTTAAACAGAGACGGAGGTAGCAGTGATCGCTCAGGTGGCTGCAGGAAGGAGGAGAGAAGGTTTAAAGATGCAGGTGGGGGTTGAGAATTGAAGGACAGAGTGAAAAGGAGGTCACAGTATAGGGAGATAAGCATTAATTAAATATGTGGGGTGTTTGACCATGTCTAGGATAAAAGCAATCACCTGACTGAGAGGGACAGCGGTAAAGACAGAGGAGGTAAGAGGAATCGTTAAGGAGGGTAACACTGAGAGAAGGGGACAGGTATATAAAAGAGAAAGAAGCAAGATTTCTCTTGAGAGGACATGACCAAAAAAGACAAAGGAAAAGGGGAGGTGTATATTTTATGATTTATATTTTAATATCTATCCAGACATTTTTAGAGTTTGTATTTTTAAACCAAAAAAACCTTCATATGTGTCTTTTATAAGAAAAGTCAACTACTTTTGCATGTTCCCATTATTTGCTTACGTCCTGGAAGCTCCATTTACAGGGGGAGGGGAGTGGGTATGCAAGATCATCAGGCTCTTGTGCAGTGCTCTGCAGCTTAATGCAGATGGTTTTACATGTAAATTGGTGCTGCACAAGAACTTGAAATGTATTTTGGATTGAATAACTGGTTTGCATAGTTGTGGAGAAAGTATTTTTGTTCGTTACGAACAGTAATATATACTAATACTCGTACTAAACAGCAGTATTAGCATCAAAATATTAAATACAAAGAATAGCCCAACTGATCGGTCAACAGGACGATATTATTGCGAGAAATATAACTCTTTGCCCAAAAAATGCGCATCAAGAAAATAACTTTCATTTATCCTTCAATAAATGAAAATTTAAAAAGTATAGAAGAAAAGGGAGAACGACACTTAAGCCATGTTATGAATGTTGACATTGCATACTTTGTCCACTAGAGCGCACTGTGCAACCTCCCTGTTTGCAACATACATGTTACAACGAACGTCACAAACACAACAACCAGCTGATCAAGCAAAGTCGGGTGTATACAAATAA